CAATATACCTTCGTGTTGCGTCTTATTCGATGTATCGATGACTCAAATACGATTTGTATATCACAAAAGAAATGCGATTTAATATTTAGACATCACTATAATTGATCACTCCTATGTTAGTCATTGAGTAGATTGGTACTGTAATAATCTACTAATAGCAGTGATATCATGGATACACTAGATTTACAACAACATTTGAAAAAGATTCACCCCAGTCTAGAAAATAATGTTTATGCTGCTAATAGACTGCCGATGTATAACCACGTACTAACGTATATAATATGCAATTTGGATACAGATGATAAATCAAGGTCACATCGGGCAGCTTTATATATTGATACGAATGACGTCGGTCAATATTTTGATTCATATGGACGATCACCTGTACGATATCATCTAGAGTTTTAAAAAGGAACTGTAAAAGATGGAACTGGAATGTTGATAGGATTCAGAATGAGTGGACTTCAGTTTGTGGCGAATATTGCTTAATGTATTTGATATATAAGTTTCAGGAATGTTCAATGCATAGTTTTACGAGTATATTTACAGGGAACACATTGTACAACGATATTTTAGTGGATGAGATGTTTCGCTCCTATTTTTTAGATAATAAGTAATAAGATTTAGTATTTTGTAAATAAAAATTGTAACAAAATTACGTAATGTGTTTTATTGATGATTCAGATTAGCGTTGTAGTTAGGAACAAAGAAGTATAATACAATATCACTGATAAGCCGACGCACACGCCGAGGAAGAATAGACAATGACAATAGATAAGAACAATGGGACGCTAATGGCGGTGGTGGCCCTCACCGGATATCAATTAGATATTGGTTAATTGATCTGCACATCTCCAGAACCGTGCATCCTACACAAGAACAAACCTCAGATTCGTGATCAGAGCATGCCAAAACCTTTTTTTGTTTCTTTTTAGGACCGTGAGTCGACGAACGTTGAACCACTTCTGACTCAGTGAACCAGAACTGGTACTACGTAACTACTGTTAGTTGCAAATTTGAAATTAATCACGATATTTTATGCTTAAAATAACCTTATATAAATATTTAGTCCCATATCTCTAATTAGTTATAAAGTAGAAATCTTATAACATAAGTATTCATCTCATAGTATTGGTACTTCATAAGTATTGGTCTCTTGGAGTTGGGAAATCACATTCAAGCTCGATTCAAAATGATATATATTTAAATTTGCTTAATCAGCACTTTTCTTCTGCTTCTTGCACCGATAATGTTGCAAGGTCAACTACAACTCAAATTTCAACGTTACCCACTCCTGACTATCCTCCATTTGTGTTTAGGCTATTTGCAGATTGAGATGTTAGGAGAAACATACTCTCTAACCGTTCCGACGCTGTCGAAAGTGATGATATCAGTCGTAAAATGATTATTCCCTTACTTGATATATTAACACCTATTATTACCTTTATCCTAAATTTTTCTATATCCACATCTTCCTTCCCTTCGTATTGGAAATATGCCCAAATCATTTCTTTGCCCAAAAAAGCTAATCCTTCGAGTTATTCCGAGTATTGTCCCATTTCAATTCTTCCTTTTCTGTCCAAAGTCCTAGAACGTCTTGTCCAACAACAATTAAATTCATTTTACGCAAGAAATGATATCCTCAATTCATATCAATCCGGATTTAGGCCGGGACACAGTACGACTACAGCATTATTAAAAATCACTGACGACATACGTTTCGGAATGGATAACCGCCAAGTCACAGTGATGGTGTTGCTCGATTTCAGCAATGCCTTCAATTATGTAAATCATGATATACTAATTGGTATACTGCGTTCTCTTAACATATCTCCAACTGCAATTGCCTGGTTTCGTAGTTACTTATATGGACGTCGCCAACGTGTTCGGGTACAAGACAGAATGTCTTCGTGGCTTGATACCGTTGCTGGCGTTCCACAAGGTGGCGTGTTATCTCCTCTCTTACTTGCAATCTTCATAAATTCTATTACCTCCAGAATATCTTCTCTCTACCACTTGTATGCTGATGATCTCCAGATATATCTACAAACAACCGTAGAGGATCTGCCAAAAGCAATTTGTGATATAAACAAGGATCTAGCGCGTATTATTGACTGGAGTCGATCTTATGGGTTAACTGTTAATCCCATAAAATCCCAAACAATTATTATTGGTAGTTCAAGAATAATCTCCAAATTAAATAAAACTCAGTTAAACCCTATAACATTTAATGATGTTCAAATTTCTTATAAGGATGTAGTGAAAAACTTGGGAATCTTGATAGATTCTAGCCTTTTTTGGTCTCCTCAAATCAACACAGTGTCTCGTTAAATGTTTGCAGCTTATGGTTCACTCCGAAGAATGAATTACTTCTTACCCACCTCCACCAAAATTATGCTTGCCCAATCTTTTCTGCTCCCCATTCTCGATTATGCTGACATAAGCTATCTAGACATTACCGAAGAGCAACTTAACAAACTTAAGCGACTCCAAAATCTATGTATAAGGTTCATATTTGGACTTCGTAAATATGACCATGTATCAGAATACCGCACTAAGCTCAAGTGGCTCCCAATCCGTCTTCGTCGGAATACTCATATCCTTTCTGCTATCTACTGCGTTTTATTTAATATATCAAGTCCTCCCTACCTTAAAGAGCGTTTCCAATTTCTCAGCTCTTCTCACAAACTTTTCCTTCGATCCTTTTCTAAGGATCCTTTCCCTTCTATGTCCCTTGCACTCTTCTACATTTTACAGTAAATCTTTTTCGGTTCTTGGAGTTAAGTTTTGGAATTCCTTACCATCAACTATAAAACGTGCTGAAACAATAGACTACTTTAAAAACCAAGTTAAAAAACATTATCTTTCCTTCTAAATCATCCCTCCTCCTTTTATCTATTCCTGTCGTTTTATGATCACTAGTCTGTCATTTAAGTAAATTCCGGCATGTTTATTAAATTTTTATTTCTTATTTAGGTTGTCTGGAAGAAATGGCTGCATAGCAATAAGACCGCCTTTTATTTTTCTCTTTGTTTGTTTCTTGCTATGATGTTTTTTTAGTGTTCAATAAAGGGTATTGTATTGTATTGTATTGTATTGTATTGTATTGTATTGTATTGTATTGTATTGTATTGTATTGTATTGAATTGAATTGTATTGAATTGAATTGTATTCAATAACAGTGTGTGTTAGCGGTGAAAGAATATTCACTACTCCAAACCGCATGGGAGGCCTATGTTCAGTAGTTGACTTTAATAGATCGTAATAAATGAATGAACAAAGTATGTTTGATCTCAACATAATTTTAGAAATTCTTAGAACTCGTCAAAACATTACCATAGTCTACTGAACTAACTGAACTAAGAATTTTTTTCGTTAAGTAACTGGTGGAGACATTTGGCCTGATTTTAATCCGGTTCGAAGAACAAAAAAATGGTCGCGCTAGTGACCAGAAAAATGTTGCGACGATATATTAGCCAGTGCCCCGAGATAGGATTCTACTTGAGCTGTTAGAGGGGAAAAAGACACATCAAAGAAAATAAACAGCTCAAAGGCAATCTAAGGAGCAATTACCGCGGGTGCGCGTGCCGCACAACGGCTCACTTTGAAAAAATGCTATGGTAGCCGTGTCAGAGACCTCATAGTGGCCGTAGATACGTCAGCACGTGTCGGTTAGTCTAAAATCTCATTTATAGCAAAAAAAACATTAGCATAATTGCCATGCCTATATGTACAACTATACGTCCCTGAAACGACCAACGGGTTGTTTTTTACATACTGAATAAATTAAAAAAAAAGATCCATAAAAACACGCGTGAAAGAACATATAGCTGACGTGAAGCACCAACGCTCCGAGAAGTCTGCAGTCCGTGAACATGTTCAAGATCGTCCCCACCATTACATCAGATTTGATAAACCACAAATCCTCGCAAAAGAACACCGATTCCTACCAAAGATGATACGCGAGGCTATTGAAATTAAAAAAAAAAAACATCCTAATTTCAATAGAGAAGATGGATGGGTGCTGCCATCTGCTTGGGATCCTATAATTAACAAAATTAAACCCAAACCCAAGCATACCACTGCAAGACTTTAAGATACTGTAAACTCGTTCTACGTAGATCGGACCAAATGTAATATTTAAAAACTGAAGGTAGCCGGGCTAACTATGACATTGGGACGTCAAACATCTCAGTCGTGACCATGGGTGCTGTAAAGCACCTGAAACGTCGGGAATTAAAAATAAGTAAAAGTAGTCAATTAAATGCGATAAAATCGTAGTGTTCGCGTAAATTTAAGAAATCATTACTGAATAAATTGTTCAAAACATTGTGAATGTTTTAATCTATATTAAGCTTTATTTTTTAGTAAAGGATCATCTATGAAACTCACATTTTTCATGTCACACAAAACATTGATAATTATTTAAATTTCGTCATAAATAATACATAAAAAATAATAGATAACATAATACCTAGAAAGTGTACATTTTGATCTCACACTTTGCTGTCAGCTACTCACTACGGGCCCGCGGACTTCGCTATGCGACAAGCAAATGGCACAGAATAAATTGCAAATGGCTACATACAATGTGTGTTTTCTGTGATATTCATGAACATCCTACGAAGACGAACGCGTGATGAATATGTAACTTGTGCAAAACACCAAAAGTAATTTATACATGTCTAGGGCACGTATACCTACACTGCGGGATGCATCTGTGTGATTAGAAAATATCAATGTGGGTATTCTATAACAAATTCTCACACTCAATGACTACGGTTATACGAGGATGGTACCAACACAGTTAAACCCAAGTATGACCAAGACGCCATGTCCAGGACAGGTATGACCACGCAACTACAACCCTTTCTCCTTTCTTGAAATAGGTTGCAGGTATCAATGACCTAAAGTCAGTAATTTACCTTCATGTAGACCGTTACCCCGTTTGTTCTTATACTATTGTAATTGCTTAATCAGTATTTTTTTATTGCTTGCAGAAACTAGCCAGCCTTCTCTAAAGACTGAGGAGAGCAACGTAACCCACAAATCTCCGGTTCACTGGCCTGACCCACCAGAACCTGCCAAGTATGATTTTATTGTGTCTTTTTTATTAAATTTCCAAATAACAATGAAAATAGTGAAAACTTTCTTTTATAATTGTTAAATAAGCGAAGCTGACTTGGCCACAAATGAAATCATCTTTACTTTTTTGATGATCAAAATAAAAAAAATCATTTGTTAAAAGTATTTTTTATGAGTGATGGACACTGGTAAGGTTTTTAAATTGTGGTTTCTCTGATTGAAGAAGAAGACTAGAAGAGAGACTATTATTTTTTCAACATTCTTTCATAGGTCACTAAAGAATAATAAATATAGTAAATTAAAAGTTAAAGAGAACAGTTCTAAGAAGAGAAGAATGACTGTGACTTGTGACTTAACGGTAACCCGTTATTACATTCATTTTATCGTTTTCTATGAACGTTATCGTTTATAGATAATCAACATAACCCTCAAACAACAAAAGCCTGTTCTTTATCATAACAAAGATAAAGAACGAGTACCGAAAACTAGCAGACAAGTTTATACAAGAATTAGTCGCAACTACTATCCTCGAAGAATTTTATGGTAACAAATACAAACTAGGGGCATAATGTGTAGTAGAATGGAAAGGTTTTTCTATTCTTGTTATCGCCACAGCCTGTTTCATTTCTTTCACGGGGCGTTAGGGTCTCGAACGTCGTCACTACATGGCGAATTTCATTCTATTCTACTTTGTTCTGTTCTTTTCTAATTTGTTCTATTCTTTTCGGTCCCATTCGTGACCCGTCCGTTGTCCGACCGTCCATTGACGACTCCGTGGCGCAGTGGCTTAGCAATGAGTGGCTGCGCTGGGGGTCGCGGGTTCGAATCCCGCACGGATCAGGTATTTGTATGGCCTACAAGTAGTTGTTCCGGGTCTGGATGTTCGTCCTTGTGTTTGTAAACTGCCCCCACAATACAAGAGAAAATCTTAGTGTAGGTAACGTTTTTAAAAACCAATAAAAAAAACCAGTATAAAGTATTTACACCTTCTAGAAGTATTTTCATGGTAGTCAATGAGAACGGCTAAAGTGATTACCAATTTTATGGCTACGCCTTGAGGACATTGTTAGGTGATGTGTCAATTTAATTGATTTTCAGATACCAGCAGCAGTGGAGCTTAGAGCAAGAGTCGTCGGAGAGCGAGCTAATCGCCATCCCGGAGACCAGCGACAAATCCGACACTACCATGCATGGAAGCACTGCGCCTGTAAGTGGCGTTTGTACGTGGTAGAGCAAAGAGTAACGAATGGGTCGTCTCGAACAGAGTAAGACCACGCTCTCACAGAATACCAGTGTAAAACAGCTTATTGCTTCTATGTTTCATATTGGGAGCGCAGAGAACTGGAGACTCTTTTTAATGAGAACTAGGTATTCCATCTTAGTCTTCAGGGGTAACAACGCATCTGCATTTAGATTCTTAATCGAGGATAAATTTAGATGTCAATGGGCCACACCATCCATGTACCATTAGGTGCACAGTATGTTCGTTTGCCACACTTATTATGTAAAAAAAATTTGGAGACCATTGGTTTTGTATTGTTAAAACTTGTGAAAAAATAATCATCATCATAATCGTTATTGAAGCCCTTTACAAGTCCAATGCTAGTCACAGGCCTTCCCCAAATAATGCCATGTAATGATCCTGAGCTATTTGCATACATCGACTTCCTATATGTATTATCAGGATGTCATTTCACCTAGTGTGGTGTCGCCTACCATTGTACTTGGTAGTAAAAGGCATTCTCGTGCTGCCAAGAAAACCTTTCATCCCCTTTCAGTACGGTGCATCCTCTTACCGACAGGCTGGAAATTTTCTTTCCCATTAATAACATTGAAGCTTCGTTCTGATAATACCTGAGGGTACCCCTTATTTTCCATCAATATAGCTTTATACTGTCAGAGGAATCTTACTTCCTAACGTAACCTTTCTTTTCCCAGTACCCTTTTTTGTTTCCCTAGCCAGTACCCTTTCCACCCATCGTTCTGTTAGGAGGCCGATCCTTTTGTCTTAAAAAAAAACACTAATTAACCCTAAAGGTTTGTAAGAAAAGTTCACACCAAATTAATATAGTCCCTGACTTCCGAACTTTAATACGTCTCGTCTCGTCTATGTCCAATCTACCCGGGCTCTGAGTCTAACTGATCGTTAAAAATGGAATTAAAATGAACATGGAAAAGAACAATACAATTGCTGACTAAGATCATATATAGGAAAAGTACTGTGGATTGAATAAATGCTTAATAAAATGTTACTATCTTATAAAAAGGGATATAAGAGTTCGTCGGCTTTTAGAACAATATGGATGACTCTTTGCCACTTCAGTTCACTGATCTTTTGCTTTTGGGTTAAATTTTAACCTAGACACTAGAATATAATTTTAAATACGGTTCTATTTTAATTTTATACTGGACCATCAATTCCAGATATGTTCCAGATTGCCAAGCGTGACAACTATTGCAAATATGGGGTAAACTACGGGAGAGGTCTATGCTCGGCAGTGGACTGTAATGGTAATTGTAAATGGTGTCGTAATAGGTGCATACGGGAAGTACCAGAAACACTTAAATTTTTTAGCGGACGTTAGAGGTTGATAGTCTCGTACACTGTCACCACTCGAAAGACTAGCCGTTAATATGTGAAAATAACTACAGGGATCGTTCGATGAGCCGTCCCACTACGAGGATCCTCCAAAAGTCGATCTCCACTCAGTTTGCACCCACCCACCACATTACAAGATTGTAAGTACATAAAAAACTGTAATAGTCAATGTAGCTATATTTCGTATAGTGAGTGTGGTGAAAGGGTCTACCCTTTTTACTGAAAGCGAGGCATTCCATCTTAGTCCTCAGGGATGACAACACACCTGAGTTTCGATTCTTAATCGAGGATACGAGTATATATAGATGTCTAAGGGCCACAACATCCACTTATCATGAGGTGAACTGTTGGCGTTTGTCACCCTTATTCTTATCATTAAACAGTGCAAATCTGGTGTTCCGTACTGGAACAGAATATTTTAATATTATAACTTCCAATTCTACTTTTGTTCGTAAGTACAAGGCAACACAATTTTAAAACATACTTCAATTGAATTAATTCTGTTGGCGATCAACTGTTATCAATCTGAACTCACGTATAACGTATTATGGCAACTTTGTGCGACGCTACCCCATGTTGACCGGCAGTAATTCATGACTTTTTCTGCCACCATGGCGGCGCAGTTGTGGCATGAGGTGGATATTTGACAGATTTCATAGCGGTGAAGTTAATTTGAGTAAAATGAAAGTGTTAACGTTTCTTTCTGTAAGTTATATAATTATTAGGTAAAAACTTTATTTTGTTCTACCAGCTATTAGGTCTAAGGAAAGAAACCAGTATATCACTGTAAACTAAAAGATTTATTGTGGTCGCTGCTATGGCTATAGTTCACTGCTAAATCCTATATGTCTTCAAAGAATAGAAGGAGTTGCTTAGCTGTGAGCACCCACCTCCCTTCCCCTTAACCCTGGACGACATCAGCAGAGGCCGTGGGACCGAGGCGTGGATCAGCGCCTTGGGTCTTCGTCACTCTTACTAATGCTGATCCAGTCTCACCCCGAGAGGTGAAGGCCTAGGTAGATTGGAGTTAGGGCGGTTCAGGCTCCATTGCCACGTTAGAACCTCCCTTGACATTAAAAGTTATAATTTTAAAGCAAAGGACGACTCTACCGCCTGCGTTTCAAAGACCCTCAGCCGATGGGTCATCCAGAGAAAAGGTTACTAGGAACCCATTATCCTTCATTTTGTGCTGTTGAGCACAGCCGTCTCTTCTGAAGAGTCAGCTTCGCTGCGGGGCAGATAGGTAATGCCCAACTGAGGCTTAGGTAGTTCACCCTCGGGTGTTATCGAGAGCTCTGCCTTCCTACAGGGTTTCAGTTTTTCGGTTACATTTTCCACTATTCCTCTAGCTCTACTTAACCTATAATTAACAATTTTTTCATCATGAGATATTCGACAACTATGCTGCATTTTTGTAAAACCGTCAGTACGTCTGAGTCGCAACGCATGCGTGGTAATCGAACTGTCGTTGCGACAGTCTGATTGACCGTATCAGCGACCGTTGCGACGTGAATGCCCACCTTAAGATAAACCTAGGAATTTGACGCATGCGTATTAAATTAGTAAGTTGAAAGTCATTTTCATCTCGATTAAGGTATGATGAAAAAAGCAATTTTTATACTTATCTATGTCTAATGAAGGCTCGATGGCGCAGTGTCTCAGCAATGAGTTACGGCGCTGAGGGCCGCGGGTTCGAATCTCACACAGAACAAGTATTTGTATGGCCTACAAGTAATTGTTTCGGTTGAGTGTTTGTCCTTCTGAAATTCATGTACATATAAACTGCCCACAGGATACAAGAGAAAATCCTAGTGTAATGTTTTTGAAGTGAAAAGTTTACGTGGTTAGAGCTACGCTGCAGCTATATTACGATTGTAGCATGAATGGATCGGTTCAATTGGGGTAAAACCACGCTCTCTCAGAGTACCAGCCCAAAATAGGAGCTTAATGCTGCTCTGTTTCGTATGGTGAGTGTAGACCGAAGACCCTTTTTACTGGAAACGAGGCATTCCATTTCAGTCTTAAGTGGTGACAACGCATCTTTATTTTATTTCTTAATTAAGGATAAATGTAGATGTCTATGGGCATCAGCATCCACGTATCATCAGGTGGACTATGTGGTTGTTTGTCACCCATATTCTATAAAAAAAACTTCTTTATCAATGTAGTGGATAAATTTAGTATTAAAAAGTCACCTTTTCTTCTAACATTTATTTGTAACGTTCAACGCCGGGGCTGCATGAGTAATAAAATAAAAGAAGAAAGATATGTCTCAAGGGAATTTTACTTCTCCCGTGTGTGCACAATTACAAGCAGAGTTATTTTTAAAAGGAGAACAACTTCCTTCTTTCCAAAAATACCAAATTTTGTATTTGATTCCAGGCGGCTGTGGGATCCCGCTCAGCTCATCAGCTCTCCACTAGCTCCTCTGTATCTGTCGGCAGTGACTCTTCTAATTTGTAAGTACATTATTTTACAAATTGTACGTGTAGCAAGCTGAAGTGGTAATGGGCCGAGTATATAGCTCGAAGAACTGACAACCAATGGAGAAGAAAAGTTTTCGAGTGGCAACCTCGTACCGGTAAGCGAAGTGTTTGGTGGCTTCCACTAGAAGGAGTGAGGACCTGGTAAGAGATGCAGAAAATCGGTGGATGCAAGTGGCCTATAACGGTGCTTTGCGAAATTTACCATATTTGCCACGCTTTGCAAGTGGATTGTGAACCGCAGTTTTTTTTATATATAGCTGCTCATGCTGGTTTGTTTCCCTCTTTCGCCTCTTATGACACCCACAGAACGACAGGGGTTAGAGGATATTCTTACACCACCACTACACATTCATTAAATTCCAACATAAATCATTGTATGTTTATCAGGAAATCGACACCCATGAGTGGACAGTCGGTGGAGATCTGGCCCGACCAGTTCACCCAGCTCGCCCAGGCTTCGCCGCGCGCAAATCTACTGGGCAAGCAGAAGCGAATTGTTGGTGAGTGCACAGTCAACTGGCTCTAGTTCATATCTGTCATCCATGTAACACTAATGTCCTCCAGACTGAATTTTGGTGACGGCGCGGCGGCCAGTCTCAACAAAGTCTTACCATCAGCACAGGAATGTATTATCTCATAGTCGGACGGGACGGTTAACCGACACGTCCCGAGACAGTTCAGACGCAGGACAAACGGATTTACGTGTCTTTCAAGGGACAGAGGTGAAACAGCGCCAAATTCCTGACTCCAAGTTACTACGAAAAAACCAAATTACTGATTTTAGCCTGACCCGGGAATCGAACCAGGGACTACATGATTAGCAGTCCCGCTTATAACCACTAGACCAACGAGGCCGTAGTACTACATTAAATTCAAACCTTCTCAAATTCTATTCAATAATTTAAGAGTGTCAAGGATTTTGTTTGATACTTACTACCCTCATGTCTATTTATGCCTCCAAGCAGCTGTGCACTTACTATTGTGTTCCAGTTTAAAGGTTATTAAAACCGGTATAATTACAGATCGAGACATTCCATTTTAGTTCTCAGACCAGGACTGAGGAGTGACAACGTATATCTGATCGTCTTTGTTATACATTTCTCTTATAATAGTAAAAGTGACAAAACTGTTTCAAACTGGTAATGTTTACTGCTATGCAGACGACAGCACAGAAATCGTAATCATAAGACAATAGAAGTCGCATAGTCGCGTGACCTTGTCGCCGCTTATATGGATTGACGAACATAATTCACCATTTTGTGACTTAGTTGTGCGGGGAACGTCGTACGTGAATTTTTGTTATTATAAATTTATAATGGTGCACTGCAGCATAATCAGTTGTCATCAAGGACGTGTAATTAAACTGATAAATAAAGGCATAACATTTCATCAGTAAGATGATTATTTACTAATTATCATTGTTTTAATTAATTTACATATGGATGAATACTTTACTATGACATTTACCTTTGCAAACTTATTTATTACTTTTCGTATTGTACAATTACCATTGCTGGCTTTGTTCTACCGTAATACGCGACACACGAGACGTTGACAAGCTCGCCCAGCAATGTAATGTGAAACATTAGATATCATTGTGCATTGCGTATGTTTCTAATACGGTAAGATGTGGCGACGTCGGTTTTGGAAGTAATCGAGATCTAAGTAATTTCTGTTGTCTTATTTTTACGATTTCTGTTTTGCCAATAGTTCTCGGAAAAACATCGCCGAGTACCAGAGCAAATTTGTGTCCGAAGTCGAGTCTTTACTGAACAAAGTCTTGGACTGGGGCGTCTAAATTTAGTACAGTTCAATCCCCATAAGACACAAAATTGCGTTTTTACAGCTAAAAAGCACCCCTTCGTCGTATCTCCTCAGTTTCAAGATACTCCCTTGTTGACTCAGCCAGTATCGGAATCCTCGACGTCGACATATCGAGTAGTGTGCAATTTCGTGGTCACTTGAAAGAGAAGGCCAAATTTCTGGAATACGCCTAGGGAGTAGAAGTACTGAAAAAGACGCGTTAAAACCGGTGCCATCTCCGGAACTCACGTCTTCAGCATAATAGGAATGACGCCATCCGGGCCACTCGACTTGTTGACATCGAGGGACTGGAGTGCTCTGCGCACCGAGCGATGGGTAATCAGCACATCCTGCATGGAGCACTCACACCGCGGTATGGTCGGCGGTGTGTTCCCCCCGTTATCAAGAGTCGAGTTGGACGCAAAGAGAGAGCCCAGCAAAACGACTTTGTCCTTTGCGGCATGGGCCAGGGAGTCGTCCTCCCTGAGCAGAGTTGGGAGAGATGGCTGACAGAAGTTCGCTTGGACAGCCTTGGCGAGAGACCAGAATGCACGTGTTCCCGAAGGAAGTCGAACTGGTTTCTCGCCAATTCTGTCGATGTGCTCTGTCTTTGTCTTAGCAATGACACGACGACTCGTGATATTGCTAAGGCAAAAATATCGATACGACTTAGGGACCTTCAAGAAAAGAGCTTACTCCTTTGTGAAAAGCCGGCAACCCGCCTGCGATTTCCTTGGTGTTGTAGTTGTTTTTTTTTTGACTTACCATCAGGTGAGCTGCATCGTTAGCTCTCTCTTCTATAAAAAAAGATAAGATAAGATAAGTTAGTAGATCACGTATTTATGCTCTAAGCTTCAAGTTTTTCTTTTAGCCGGTAGCAGCACCTCACCAGACACGGCCCCTTCGTCTAATGGTGATGCGTTAACCCATTGTCCGCCATTACACTATCATCTACGAAGCCCAGGTATATTTTTTTTACTATTTAAAACTAAAAACCAAACCATGCTTTAGTAGGCACTTTTGGAGTACGCGTCGTAGTGGATAATCTTCAGGCAAGTCGTTAGGGTATTACGGACACGTCTTTTGTAAGAGTAGAGTACCTTAGAAGGAGATCAAGTATGTCTTGATAACGTTGTACAGGGGTAAGATCATGCGAAAAGCATAAAAAGCGCCGGATATGAGAGGCAATGGACTTACTACCGGGAAAAAAAGGAGACGAAAGAGTTTTCTAAGTGGTAGAGCTATGCTGCAGCTACATTATGTTTGTAGCACGAATGGGTCGACTCGACCGGGGAAGGATCATGCTCTCACAAAATACCAGCGCTAAACGGCAGATTAATGCTGCTGTGTTTCGTATGGTGAAGTGTAGAACCGGAAATCATGTTTATTGAATACGAGTCATTCCATCTTAGAGGTGACAACGCATCTGCATTTTGAATCTTAATCAATGGTAAATGTAGAGGCTTTGGTGCGCAGTACCCACTTACCATCAGGTAGACTATGTGCTCGTTTGTCACACTTAGTCCAAAAAAGAAAGGTAAACTGGCGCTTTTTATGGAATGTTATGTAAAACAGGAAACCTCAAAAATGCAACATACTCACTTTTAATTTATTTCGAAATAAAAATGACAAAATACGTAACTATCTTACACTACAAGAAGAATAAGTCTCAACTATTAGATTAGAATGGAATAAGCGAATCGACTACCCACCAGAGATTTTTCCGGAGCGATACGACTTAGGGACCTTCAAGAAAAGAGCCTACTCCATATTAAAAGGCCGGCAACGCATCTGCAATTCCCCTGGTGTTGCAGTTGTTCATGGGCGGCGGAAATCACTTACCATCAGGTGAGCAGTATGCTCATTTGCCGCCTCTCCTATATAAAAAAGTCATTTATTGTGCTAATTGTTTAACACATTTCTTTATTATGTAAAATTTGCTATGTCGATGGGCACGTGTTACTGTTATGCGTTAAAGTTTTAAATAGGCGATATCGATAGGTGCGTTTTATCTTTGAGCGTTAAAATATTAAATGTACGAAATTGGTGGATGGGTGTTACTGTTTGCTGTTGAAGTATTAAGGAGGAAGCGCCGGCCGTCCGTCCATACATTTTTTAATCAAAATATACACCAAAACACAGACAGTCTTTCTTTAAAACTAATCATTTTATCACTTCTCTACAATGAAATAAGTACGCGCTTGACCTTTATAGGCAATAACTTACATTATATACTGAGAAAAACAATAGTGAAATCCCGGAAAAATTTGACACTTTTTAGTAGTGTGCGTGACACGAAGGCGACGTTCAAACATTGGCACGCTAGATGGCATGCAAGTGATCTTAAATATTACATACATAAACATAAACACTCACGCCTGTCACCCAGAGGGGTAGGCAGAGACTATGGACTTCCATTTGGCACGATCCTGACATACCTCTTTCGCCTCCTTTACATCCATATATTTACGCATACATGCTCTTCGTTTAAGGTTACTTCTAACGTGGCCCCTTTTCAAAATATCGCCAATTTGGTCGATAAACTTTTTTCTAGGGCGTCCCTTCCCGACTCGGCCGTTCACATCTGCCATATAAATTTGCTTTGTCACTCTTTCCTCATTCATTCTTTCTACATGACCAAAACACCGAAGCATTCCTTTCTTAATCCTGGTCACAACATCATCTTGCATACCACATTTATCTCTTATCACGCAATTTCTCACCCTGTCATTCAAATTCAACCCTAGCATACTCCTTAAAGACCGCATTTCTACAGCATTTATTCTACTTTCGTGCTTCTTCTGCCACACCCAGCTTTCACTATCATACATTAAAGTAGGGACTAACACAGCATTATGAATTACTATACGTGCCTTTTTTGATACATTCTGGTTCTTCATAATAGAGTGTAGTGCCCCATTCACTCTATTCCCTGCATTTACTCGTCGTTATATCCTTATCATATCTACCATCCCTGCTAAATACACATCCTAAATACACATACTCATCCACTTGCTCAATTAACTCTCCTTCTATTCTCATTTCACATACCGTTTTGCTTTCTTCTCTTTCAAAAACCATCACTTTCGTCTTACTTGCGTTCACTTTCATTCCCCTTTCTTTTAATTCCCAGTTCATTAATGTAACCATCATTTGCAACTCAACCGCCGATGACGCAAATAGGACTTGATCATCGGCATACAAAAGGCATTTGACGGTTAACTCGCCCATTCTTAACCCACATTCTTCATCTTTTAAAGTTTGCGAATACCTGTCCATAAATAGGTTGAACAGTCAAGGGGAAGCTACACAGCCCTGTTTGACACCTTTTTGGATGCCAAACCAGTCCAAGTAGACCCCATTGACGGTTAATTCGCCCATTCTTAACCCACATTCTTCATCTTTCAAAGTTTGCAAACACCTGTCCATAAATAGGTTGAACAGCCAAGGGGAAGCTACACAGCCCTGTCTGACACCTTTTTGGATGCCAAACCAGTCCAAGTAGACCCCATTGATCCTGACACAAGCACTAGAGTCCCTATAAAGAGACCTTAATGCCTGTATCAAACCAGCGCTCAACCCATATGAGTTCAGTGTTTGCCATAACACATTCCTGTCCACTCTGTCATAAGCCTTTTCCAAGTCCATGAACGCACAAAAAACTTTCTGGTTTTTGGCCAAAAACTTCTCCGCAATCATGCGCATGGAAAAGACTTGATCTGTACACCCCATTCCCTTTCTAAAACCCGCTTGCACATCCCAAATTTTTCCATCAGTTTTTTTCATAACTCTTTCAAATAACACCTTAGCATACAGTTTACCCACAATACTAAGCAAGCTGATACCCCGCTAGTTTTTGCAGTCCTGCTGTGACCCCTTTCCTTTATATATTGGTACTATAACTGCTTTACACCAGTCATCCGGTACCCGTTTTAATTCCCAACATAAATTAAACAAGGTGTACAGCAGGCCTGCCACCACTCCCTCTCCAGCCCTTAGCATCTCGAGTGATACTCTATCATATCCAGCTGCCTTACCTGCTTTCATGCTTTTCATTGCTTTCATTATTTCATCTACACTTATCTCCATACTCTTATCTCCATGCCGTGTAGTGGCGGTTAAGAATATCCACTACCCCATATCTTCCCGTGGGTGTCGTAAAAGGCGACAGAGGGAGACAGGCAGGAGATGGGCAGCAGCATCTTCCTGATAACAGCAACTGTACGACAAAAAAAAACTGCGGTTGCCAACCCGCTCGCCAAGCGTGGCAACTATGGCAATATACCCCCCATGAACAATTACACAAATAGATGGCCCCCAGTCCCCGGCGGCCCCGCTATTCCTGGCTACGGTGGCGACCATGGTAACGGCGGGGCAGGGGGTGCTAAGAATCTCCGGTGGAGGTTCGGTTGCCACCTACGACGACTCGACCTGGCAAAATTTAACGCACGCACACTGAGGACTGACGAGAAGATCCTGGAGCTGGAAGAAGAGATAGACAAGTTGCGCTGGAGTATTATAGGATTATCCGAGGTCCGAAGAGAGGGGGAGGACACGGTGATTCTCGAATCCGGCAACTTGTTCTATCACCGGGAGGGCGACCATCTGTCCCAAGGAGGTGTCGGATTTATCGTCCACAAGTCTCTCGTCAACAACGTTGTAAAGATTGGGAGTGTGTCGACGAGGGTCGCGTACCTGATACTCAGAATCACCAAACGGTATTCGCTGAAGGTCATACAGGTTTACGCACCAACCTCGGCACATCCCGATAAGGAGGTAGAGGAAATGTATGAGGATATTTCCAAAGCCATGCATTCCTCCAAAACCCACTACACGGTGGTGATGGGAGACTTCAACGCAAGACTAGGCACAAGAGAAAGCGGTGAGCTGAAGTTAGGGAAATTTGGAGTAGGGCAACGGAACCGAAGGGGCCAGCAGCTCGCCGACTTTATGGAGAAAGAGGGACTCTTTATGATGAACTCTTTCTTCCAGAAGCGGCCCCACAGGGAGTGGACCTGGTCGAGCCCCGACGGTTCGACAAAAAATGAGATTGACTTCATTATGACGACCAGACGCCAACTGTTCAGTGATGTCTCAGTGATCGCAAGGGTGAAAACTGGCAGCGATCACCGAATGGTTAGAGGCACACTGAACCTAAACGTTAAGTTGGAGAGGTCTCTTCTAATGAGGTCAACGCTCCGTCCCCCCTCGTGCTCTAATCCAGAATCCCGAAACCTTTCAGCTCGAGTTACGTAACCGCTTTCAGTGCCTAGAAGATTGCAATGCAGTGGACGGTATGAATGACAAGCTCGTGGAAACTGTCCGTGCGGTCGGAGCTAAATTCTGCAAGACCCGCCGCAGAAGAACACAAAAACTCTCCGATCACACTCTTAATCTCATGGCTGTTAGACGGGAGATGAGGCGGTAATCGTCAACAGATTCGACAGCATACAGGCAACTGAACAGACAGATCTCCAAATGCATGCGGCGAGACTTACGCAACTTTAATACTGCTCGTATTAAAGAAGCGATCGAGCGGAACCAGGGCTCCAAAGTCTTTGCCAGAGATCTGTCTGCCAGAAAGAGCCAACTGTCAAAGCTGAAGACTGAATGTGGCAGCATCGTTTCCGGGACACCTGACATCTTGAGTGAGATTGAGAGGTTCTATGGGCAGCTGTACACATCATCATTGGAGCCACACGCAAGTGTGAGTAACGATCCAAGAGCAAGTCTTATCCGACACTATTCCGATGATATCCCGGACGTCAGTCTAAGCGAGATTAGAATGGCTCTCCAGCACCTTAAAAACGGCAAGTCCCCGAGCGAGGATGGAATTACAGCGGAGCTGCTGAGAACGGGTGGAAAACCGGTACTTGAAGTCCTTCAGAAGCTCTTCAATTCCGTCCTCCATGGTGGCACTACTCCGGAGGCGCGGAGCAGAAGTGCAGTGGTCTTGTTCTTAGA